AAGCCTTTTCCGCCCGCCCCTGACCTGGCCTTGCCGTGTTCGCCCGTCCCTTTTGGCAATACCGAAGAAGCACACTGAACTCTGGAAGGATCTTTTCTTCCGAAGCCCGGGAGGATGCGGCCCACAAGATGCACACTCACTCTACACCTAGGAGTTGCCCGCGCCCCTAGGGGGCAGGAGCGCGGCCCTTTGTATTGGCCTACAGCTGGACCCAAGAGAATATTCTTTAAGCCACGGAGGCATTTCCCGGTGGGGGTGGGCCCTAACAGATTTCTGCACCTTCTCGGGTATCCAGGCATACACCTCACTGTGTGTCACTGAATCTCGGGTTTGGAAAATCTCCTAAGGCAGAATGACTATTTTCTGAACCGGCTCATGGACAAAATCTTTAGCTTTGGAAAATCCAGGTGATGGGTATTCTGGGCCAGCCAACTTCCAGGTGCTTAACTGGCCCGTAGGGAGAACCCAGTTGAGCAAGTGTCCGGGCTGTGTTCGGACATCTTCATTGGTAAAGAAGCTAACACCCCTCTCCTGCCGCTTATTTCATGTTCAGGTGGCACTGGCTGTGAGAAAGTTCTGCCTTTCAAAGCACTGTTAAAACCTCTCCCAGGAATGTTTACCCACCAGCCCGTTCTGCCCCTGGGTCTCTACAGAACCAGTCTGGTCTCTTCCACAGGTAGCCTTTTTAATATATGAAGGCAGTCAGGTATACTCTCTGCCTGCAGCCCCTCTTAACATAATTAATATGCCACCTTCCAGCTTCCTGGTGCTTTTCCTAAAGCCCTTCCTCCCCAGGCCTGACTCTTCCTTCCCTTATTCCAGCCTGAACAGTGCTTGGGGATAAGAGGTTTGCACAGGCACCCCCATCCCAGGCTTCGGAGAGTTCACACTAGTGCCTGATCTTTCTCAACTGAATCTTGCTTGCAGAGATGGATTCCACAGCCTACACTCTCAACTTGACCCTGAAAGAAGAAGAAGAGGAAGAAGAGATTCAGAGTCGGGAACTGGAGGATGGCCCCACAGATATGCAGAAAGTCCGGATCTGCTCAGAAGGTGGTTGGGTAAGTAGGAAGATGGGTCCACACAGCTGTGAGGAGAGGTCTGGGAGCCAGGCTTGTTTTAAGTCTCCTCCTCAGTCAAGCATAGGAAGTAAAAATAGCCCAGCCCAGCCCGGTATGTTTGCATTCCTGAGAAAACAGTCCTGTGGCTTTAAAAGGCACTGTGAAGAATGGAGCTGGTTATGGGAACAGTCTCTTCAGCCATGTGGCTTATCGTCGTTCGGACTGGAAATCTGAGAGGCTTGCCTCTCTCCTGTGCCCCTGAATCCCCTACGTTTTACTTAGTGCCAGGCACGTTGCAGACACCAGCTAAATGTTTGCTGACCTCTGTTAAAGAAAAAATTACTCTGACGCTTGTGAAGACGGTAAGGAAGATTGGTCGGGACTGTTGAGATGGGTGTCAGGACTCTTGCAGTGGGAGAGAGCTGGGGCTCAACACTGAATACAGTGAGACAAGCAGGGATTTCCAGCCAGGGATCCAGAGTGGGTGAAAAGTTACTAAGAGGGGACATCAAGAATAGGGGGATTCTTGCTAAAGGCAGACTAGGGTGATCAGCTGTCAAAGGTGGGGGAATCTTTCTGAGGTAAAGTAAAAGCAGGTTTCTTGCTAAAACTGGGCCAGGCAGGCTGAGGACGGGAGGGGAGCCCCCATGGAGGCCTGGTAGGGAAGAGGGCCCAGAGGAACGTCACTGAAGTTTGGGAAGGAGAGAGTCTTTTACACCCACTGCTGGCTGAAGGGAACCTTTTTAAAGAAGACTTGGGGCGTTGAGCTGACAGGAGGAGAGCTTCAGTCGGTTCTGTGTGAGGACGTCTTGTGATAGCACACCCAGGAGAGCGGCATGATCAGCCTGCCCGAATCGAGGGATTGGGGTGGTAGGCAGCAGAGAATATGGAACATATCCAAACAGAAGCGTGTGATAGAATTAGAGTAAATTCATAAAAATATAAATGCAGCGTGGCCCATCCTAATCCCCGCCAGTCTGCCTGGGGCCTGCCGGGTTTTGCTCGTGCACCAGAGAGCTGTAGAAGCCTCCCCAGAAAAGTGAACAGGCTTCAGCGCGCCTGTGCCCGGGGCACTTCTGGACACCCCGGGGGTGGGGGGGCGGGGGGAGTGATGTAAGTGCAAGAGATATTTATCCTTATAATCGTGTATAATTATTCACAGTACATCCCGGACATCATGACATTTAGGCATGAATGGTAAAAACTTTAAATATGCAACAAGTTGCATTCCTTTTCTCCGGCGAGTCCTGTGTATGAACATTATCAGTATCCATTCTATTCCTTTGTTTCCAGTAGGAGATTGGTGTTCATAGAAACACGGCTCTCCCAAATGTCCGATCCAGCTCCCCTCCCGCACAAGAGGTCTGGGGAGCAGAGAGGTTATCTACTTTGCCCCAAAGTTACACATGTACGCTGACATGTGTTCTTGAAAAAATAAATGTCTCTCAAGCTGGACCCTTAAAAGCAGTGCATTTTATTGTATGTGTGTCATACCTCGATGAAACACAATGCACCACCAGGCTCTGGGTTTTCAGCCGGGCTCTGTAGGCTGCACTGCCATTTTCTTTTTGTGTTCTCTGCTCACCCCCACCGCCTCTCTAGTTCTGATCCTCGCAGCTGGGGAGACCTTCGAGGACAGGAGTCAGTCCCATTTAGCCTGCAGCAAGACCTCAAGGCAGTAGAAACCCTGGGCTTTAAGGCTAAATTGGCCAACCCCGAACCTCTAGATAGCATGGAGAACCTTGGAAAATGCGTGCAGTAAAGGTGGACGTTTAAGTGTTGTCGGAACAGTGAGAAGGGAGCAAGGCGAAGGCCATTCTTAGCCGGGAAGGAAGGAGGTCGCTGGAAGAGGGGGGCTGGTTTTTGTGGCCTCCAGGCAGTCTGCCCCCTGTCCGCGGTCATTGAGCACAGTGGTGGTGTTAAGACAAGATCCCTAGTCTCCTGGAGTTGCCAGTCTCGCAGGGAAGGTGGGGAAGTGAACATAATTCATAGTACAGTATTCAGAGTGCAGTGGCTGAAGTCAGCTCAAGAGCAGGGTCTCATTCAGCTGGAGAACTCAAGAGGCTTTGTTCAGGGGGCAAGCATGGACCTGGTCTTAAGCAGTGGGCAGGTTGGCTCCCAGGCCCATTTCCCTCCTGGGGACATTTGGCAATATCTGGAGACGTTTTTGGCTCTTGTGATTTGGGTGAGGGTTGGGGAGTGGGAGATCCTACGAAGCATCTCCTGGGGAGAGGCCACGGACACTGCTAAACATCTCCAGTGCACAGGACAGCCCTCATGACAAAGAATTATCTGGCCCAAAATGTCCGTAGTGCTGATGTTGAAAAACCCTGTTCTAGGGCATTGAACTAGGGAAAGAAAAGAAATGAATCTGTTCCTTAAATATGTATTTTGGTTGTAGAGAATTGTGTTAGGGTGATCAATAAAAGCCCTTCCAACATAAGAACTATGCTATATATTAGGATAATATTCCACAGGAGAATTGGAATAGAAATAGAGTTTCAAGTAGAGAAAAAGAGGAATGTACCCTGAACTGAGTCACGTTCATAAGTGGCACTGGCCAAGGGAGGAGAGAGAGCTTGCACTCCAGACACGGGGAAAGCAGGAACACAGGCACCCGAGAGGAACGCTCCTGTGCAGAGTTGGAACAGCTCCCGGAGCTGGAAGCAGAGAAGGTGAGAGAAGTAGGGCAGGCCCCGGGGCCGGCCAGCCAGAGGGCGTGGTGAGCAGTGCTGAGGGGTGTAGTTCTCTCCCCAGGAGCTCTGCGGGGCAGGTCTCTTGCCCGTCTCTCTTGCGAGGGCCAAGGCTCACTACAGTCTGCGTGCTAAGTGGCCTGCTGAAAAAGTCTGGGCTTTGGAGTCAGACTATTTATTTATTTATTATTTATTTCACGTTTATTCATTTTTGAGAGACAGAGTACGAGTGGGGGAGGGACAGAGACAGAGGGAGATACAGGATCCGAAGCAGGCTCCAGGCTCTGAGCTGTCAGCACAGAGCCTGATGCGGGGGCTTGAACTCACGAACCGCGAGATCATGACCTGAGCCCAAGTTGGACGCTTAGCCAACTGAGCTACCCAGGCGCCCCTGGAGTCAGACTTTCTGACTCTGTGACTGTGGGCAAGTCATTTAGCAGCTGTTTCCTCACCCATAAAAGTGGGGTAGTGATTCCCATTTCTTTATTATTACTTCAAGGATTCAATAAGATAACTATTTCAACACGCGAGAGGGAGTGCCCCACGCAGATGCTCTCTCGTGCACTGGTAACGGCCGTCTGCTCTGAGACCTTCGTTACACAGCTTCGCCAGCGTGCGGCTGTGCGGGGTGTAGGTACTTCCTGACAGTTCCCCTTGGAGATGGGCTCTGGAATGCCCACTTGCCGGCAGAGCAGGGCAGTACCTGCAAGCCGAAGGAAGAACACCTATCTGATGCATCCTGGGTCTTCTGAGGGAAGGGAGGAGGACAGGGATGGAGGGTCCCTACCTGTGAGGCCAAGAAAGGGCCTCCCGACTTCGGAGTTTTGCCCGGGGCAGGCCCTGTTTACCTTCTGCTGTGCTCAGCCAGATAAAAAGCCTCTGTGGAGAGAGAGGAGGCCTGCGCCACGGGGCCTGGCTGAAGGCTCGCTCCCTTCTCACAGAGGGTTGCTGTGAGGAGAATTTCTAAGCCACTGGACTATGCGTCTTGGAGTATAATGTGGGCTTGTTTGGAGATCCTCTGTGGCTCAGCCATAAATATGAGGACGTGAATCTGGCACCAGTCACCCTCCAGCCACCTTACAACTTTGGGGCTCCTGAGATTTTTACCAGGCCTAGGACGTTTTACTTCTGTGAGTGTCGGTAGCCCCTCTGAAATGACAGGCGTAGCCAGTCCTGTGTCCCGTTTTATCAGCAAAGGGAAAGGGACTATAAATAGGTATGGCCTGGATCTGGAATTTCCTAGGGAGAGAAAAGGCCAAAAGGAGAGTTGTTCAAAAGGCTGGGAAGTGAGAAGGGGTGGGGTGGAAAATTCCTGGCTGACAGGCTTTCCAGATTGATGAAGGTCTGAGGAAAGCCTGGAGATTCATCCCTTTTTACCTCCTAGTATTTCACACTTACTCCAAAGAGGAAGCTTGGTTTCGTAAGAGACTAAATTTAATGAGTATTTGAAACTATTCTAAGTGGAACAAGAGAAAGGAAATTTGGATATCGTTTGCTTAAATCTTTTATTCACATATACATTTTGGGGGCACCGGGGTGGCTCACTCAGTCGGTTAAACTCTTGGTTTCGGCTCAGGTCATGGTCTTGTGGTTTGTGAGTTCGAGCCCTGCATCGGACTCTGTGCTGATGGCGAGGAGCCTGCTTGGGATTCTCTCTCTCTCCCTCTCTCTCTGCCCCTCCCCTGCTCACACTGTTTCTGGCTCTCTCTAAATAAATAAACTTAAAAAATACTTTCTTAAGTGATTACTATCTACAAGAAGTGTCCTAAGTTTAGGGAGATGGAATAAACATAGGTTTTGCCCTCAATGAGCTTGAATTCTACTGTAAGAAGCAGACAAGTAAACCAAGAGAATACTGCGTTGTGATAAGTGCCACCGTAGTGTGGAGCCCAGGGTGCCACAGGGATGCGTAGTGGGCGCACAACCCACGTCAGGGTGAGCTTCCCAGGGAACGGCACATCTGGGCTAAGTCTTGGAAGGTGGTTGGGTGGGTGTCAGCCAAGCCAAGAATGGGGAGGACCTCTGAGGCAGTGGGAGAGCCATGTGGGGGGACACGAAAGGTAAAAGAATGGTTTGCTCAGGAAACAGCAAGCACTGAGAACCACTGAGCACGGAGGTAGGGGAGAGTGAAGGGCTGGTCGCCAGGGAGGCCACTTTGCTCTTTGTAGGAGCTAGAGCCTTGAACTCAGACAGTGCTAGGTCCACATCTCAACCCTGCCATTTGTTGGCTGTGTGACTTACAGTAGCAACAAGGCCTCTCCGAGCCCGTTTCCTCCTTGGTGAAATGAGGTTGTTGGGGAAAACAGATGAAGCAGACACAGCCTTTCCTGGGAAGTACTCCCTACTTGTAGAGTGCTGTGAGTGGGAAGGGAGGACATGGACTTGGCGAATAAGGAGAAAGTCCAGTGTGTCCAAGTGACTGATGGCTGGACACCTGAAGAAGCTACACACTGTGCAGATGCTAATTTCCTAAGCTGGTGAAAAAACAGTCTCATAATCACCCAGGCTCTGGATTCGGCCTTGGGGAATAGCTTTGAAAGCAGTAACCCTGAAACCTCGGCCCAGTGATTTCTTACCACCGAATATGATGAACTTCGGAGTGGGATTTTTCATGACTGAAAGAAACGACATGGCAAAAAGAAGAGCAGAGTCAGTAAACAAGAGGAGGTTGGTTTGGGCGGCCCGGCCCCTCCCACAGGGGTGGGGGAGCGGGGTCAGTGGAGAGAGGGAAGGAGAGCTGCCTTTGTCCTTGGCCGAAGGTCTAGGCATCAAAGCAAACTAGTTTGCTCTGCTGTTTCATTACATAAATTTAAGCTCTAATTAGCTCTTCTCTCCTCCTACTCTTGCTCTTACAGATTGGAAAAGGCAGGATGAGGCCCCCTCTCTCACTGGCTCCTCCCTGGGCTTTGGGTTCTGAGTCAAATGCTAGAGCTGGTACCCCAGGAAATGGAGAACGGTGCCCAGGAGCTGCCCCCCACCCCCATGCCGGGCCAGGGATCTGTGACTTGGGGGAGGGCAGGGGGTGGCTGGGTGTGTGTATTTTGGTGGGGGAACTGCCTCAGGGTGTTTACTTGGGGGCAGTTGCTCCTGAATCTGGAGCCGGGGCTGAGCCCGGACCGGCTGGCCCTGCAGCGTGTGTCCCGATCTGGTGGTCACTGCTGGGGAGTTTTCTTCTCAGGGTGCGGCTCTCCTCCTCTGTGAACCGAGGCGGTAAGCGACCCTAAGCAGGGCGTGCGGGACCTGTGCTGTGTCCTTGTTTTGCCTCCACTCGCCTAGTGAGTGTGGATGGACCGTGTCCCCCGGTCAGAGCCCCTCCCCTGTGAGATGAAGGGGTGTGAGTCTGTGTCTGCTTATGCCTATTAGTTGTTCCCTGTTCCAGGTGCCGGCCCTATTCGATGAGGTGGCCATATATTTTTCCGATGAGGAGTGGGAAGTTTTGACGGAGCAACAAAAGGCCCTCTACCGGGAAGTCATGAGGATGAATTATGAAACTGTCCTGTCCCTGGGTAAAGCTTTGTTTTTTCTTTGTCTCCTGGAAGCTCTGAGCCCAGAGAATTGTTTCCATGTCTCTTCTCTGGTGTACCCAACATCCCTTTCTCCTGAACTTGGACTCTGTCCCCTCAATGCCTGTGCCCATTTGATTTCCTGTTTTTGACTTCGGCAGGATATAAATATTGTGTCCTTCTACTCAGCAACTTGCGCCAGCTCTCAGAACCATCCTCACTCGACCTAGGCATTCGCGTAAAAAAAAAAAAAAAAAAAAAAAAAAAAAAAAGACCTAACCTAAGAAATGTCACCACAGACCTGGGCCTGTGTTTCATATGTTCCTCAGGAGGGAAGGCAGACTTCATCGTTACCCCGTCAGCCTCAGACGCTTGGGAACTCAGCCCCAAAGAATCCTCGTTCCCCTCCTGGCATTGATGATCCGTATCATTAGAATGTAACCAGCTGGAGGGATTTCCTAGTTTCTCGTCTAGGTACCAGAAGGTTCAATAGGTCAGGGACTGCATCCTGCTAAATGAAGTTGTTTTTGTTGTTGCTAGCACCAGCCCTCATTAGCCGAGATCCCTAAATTCCCTTGGACAGACTTCTTTCCTATCGTGTTTTTTCTTTCGTTACCCCTCAGCCCTTTCCCCCTGACTTTTGTAAACCCCCACATGGAGAGAGTGTGTGTTGTGTGTCGGGGTGGGGGAGGGATTCCTTAAGTAGCATAAAGGACTGATTTTGGCAGGGCTCCAAGGCAGGAGCACACAGCTATTACCTGTTTTATTTCCTATAAACAGAATTCCCATTCCCTAAGCCAGACATGATCACTCGGTTGGAAGGTGACGAGGAGTCTCAGAATTCTGATGAATGGCAGCTCCAAGGAGGAACCTTGGCAGGTACTACAATGAAATCACCCCAGCATCCATCCAGTGGGAGCATTGTGAACCTGGACTTTAAGTTTCCATGTACCTCGTGTGGGGTGTTTAAGAGTTGAGGCAAGGTTATGAGGCAGAAAGATGATGGGCTTTGGATGTTCAAAATCTTTCTAGTGCTGTGTGACTTTAGGCCACTTCATTCACCTCTCTGAGCCTCCATTTCTTCCTCCGGCAGCAGTGGGTAATAAGTCTCAATGTGCAACCTTGTACGCGCATGAAGTAAATTGAAGTCTGTATGGCGTTTGGTCCTGTGCACATGCTGGGTGAAGGAGGCCACCTCAGTAGCGCACCATATACGTTTGAAGACTAAGGAAAGTAATGCGGCAAAGCACGTGGCCGGGGCGATTTACCCTGGTTTCTTGTCCATCTCTTCTTGGATAGAAAAAGCAAGAGCAGCTGTAGTCCATGTGTGAGTAGGTACGTCTGAGAAGCACATGGCCCTTTATCAACAACATAGTTAGGATAACAGTTGGCCAAATACAGCTTCTAAGCAGCCAGTGATTTTATTCATCTTCTCTCTATAGGGAAGAGTGTGGAATGCCATATTTCGTTGATTCTAAGACATGTTTCCCCCCCGCCCACCACATTAACATCTCTGAAATTGAGAACCCCTCTTAAAATTGATGGCATTTTTTTTTTCCTCTTCCCATGGTGTCTCTTGCAACTGATGGCATCTTAGTTTGGGTGAGACACGCTATCTTCCCAAGTCCTGTTCAGTTTCTGCGACCACTTTGTAAATATAGAAGTTCTGACATTGGTGTGAGGGGACGAAGTATGCTTTTGCTATAGATTTTCTTGGCGTAAGGGACGTGAGTCAGGCCATCCCTTTAGCAGTGCATCTAAATTCTGTACCTACTGTATGGGTTACATTTGGCTTCTCGTGCCCACAAAAACCGTTTTGACCAAAGCGTGGCCCACAAAATGATCGTGTGATCCAAGTTTGGTACCCGTGTTCAAGTCCCAGCTCTGGCACTTTGTAGCTCAGCTCCCTTGATGTATTACTTCACTTCTGTAGCTCCACCTGCAAAGAAGGAATAGCGATACACAGGTATTGTGGGAAGTAGGTGTGGCGATCCATAGGACTTAGGGGAACGTCATCTGTTACTAAAGGGCCTCCTTTGAGTGAGCCTCAGATTAAGGTATTCTTAGCGTTTTCACCCAGGAAATCGGAATAGGCCAGAAGGCATTTTTCTTACTGTTGTTGTGTTCGCCCCTCCCTGTTTGTCTCCTAGAAAATGAAGAGACTGACGTCAAGCCCCCGGACTGGGCGGGTCCGATGAACGCCACCCCCCACTTTCCTCAGCCACAGCACCTGGACGGCTTTGGCCTCCGCCTGCCGCGGGACCTCACGGAGCTGCCCGAGTGGAGTGAGGGGTACCCCTTCTACATGGCCATGGGCTTCCCGGGGTACGACCTCTCGGCGGACGATATTGCCGGGAAGTTTCAGTTCAGCAGGGGCATGCGGCGCAGTTACGACGCGGGGTTCAAGCTCATGGTGGTGGAATATGCTGAGAGCACCAACAACTGCCAGGCTGCCAAGCAGTTTGGAGTGCTGGAAAAGAACGTCCGGGACTGGCGCAAAGTGAAGCCGCAGCTGCAGAATGCCCACGCCATGCGGCGGGCGTTCCGCGGCCCCAAGAACGGGCGCTTTGCCCTGGTGGACCAGCGCGTGGCCGAGTACGTCAGGTACATGCAGGCCAAAGGGGACCCTATCACCAGGGAGGCCATGCAGCTGAAAGCCCTCGAGATCGCCCAGGAGATGAACATTCCGGAGAAGGGGTTCAAAGCCAGCTTGGGTTGGTGTCGAAGAATGATGCGGAGGTATGACTTGTCCCTGCGGCATAAGGTGCCGGTGCCCCAGCAGCTGCCCGAAGACCTGACGGAGAAGCTCGTCACCTACCAGCGGAGCGTGCTGGCCCTGCGCAGGGCGCACGACTACCAGGTGGCGCAGATGGGGAACGCCGACGAGACGCCCATCTGTCTAGAGGTGCCCTCGCGGGTGACCGTGGACAACCAGGGCGAGAAGCCCGTCTTGGTCAAGACGCCGGGCAGGGAGAAGCTGAAAATCACGGCGATGCTGGGTGTCTTGGCAGACGGGAGGAAGCTGCCCCCGTACATCATCTTGAGGGGCACGTACATCCCCCCCGGGAAGTTCCCCAGCGGGATGGAGATCCGCTGCCACCGGTACGGGTGGATGACGGAGGACTTGATGCAGGACTGGTTGGAAGTGGTGTGGCGTCGGAGGACCGGCGCGGCGCCCAAGCAGCGAGGGATGCTGATCCTGAACGGCTTCCGCGGCCACGCCACGGATTCCGTGAAGAGCTCCATGGAGAGCATGAACACCGACATGGTCATCATCCCCGGAGGCCTGACCTCGCAGCTGCAGGTGCTGGACGTGGTGGTCTACAAGCCGCTCAATGACAGCGTCCGGGCCCAGTACTCTAACTGGCTCCTGGCCGGGAACCTGGCGCTGAGCCCCACCGGGAACGCCAAGAAGCCGCCCCTGGGCCTCTTCCTGGAGTGGGTCATGGTCGCGTGGAACAGCATCTCCAGCGAATCCATCGTCCAGGGCTTCAAGAAGTGCCACATCTCCAGCAATCTGGAAGACGAAGACGACGTCCTGTGGGAGATCGAGAGCGAGCTGCCGGGAGGAGGGGAGGGACCCAGAGAATGCGATACCGAGAGCGCGCCAGAGGGCAACTGACCGCCGAGGGGAGAGCCCAGGTAACCCGCGGGCACACGCACACGCCCCGCACCTTCACGGACAGGCCTGTTCGTGTTCCGCGGACGCCTTCCCCCTTGCCGTGATTTTCTGTGCCTTCGAGAACTCTCCAGCCCGGGCTGCCGTACCACGGATCAGAGGCCTTCAGCTCTCCTTTAGGTCCAAGTGCCGTTGCCTGGCTTACTTTGTGGGTGTTCTGCTCTGAGGCCTGGCCCTCCCCACAAGGAGTGAGCTGCCAGAACACTGAATCTGAGGGCTGTCGTGTTCAAATTATTTGGGCCTGAAGGAGCGTGGTCTATCTGACGTCGCTCAGTCCGCAAAGAATTTGGTCTGAAGAGCCAGCTTTTTCCTTCCCCTTATAAATCCCGGGGAACGTCAGGGCCGGGGTGTGTATCTGACACGCTCGGAGCGGCTGTGCTCCCTTCCGCTGGCCTCTGGGGCCGGCCG